ACCTGACACACACAAGACTGCACCTGACACACAAGACTGCACCTGACACACACAAGACTGCACCTGACACACACAAGACTGCACCTGACACACACAAGACTGCACCTGACACACACACTGACACACACAAGACTGCACCTGACACACACAAGACTGTACCTGACACACACAAGACTGTACCTGACACACACAAGACTGCACCTGACACACACAAGACTGCACCTGACACACACAAGACTGCACCTGACACACACAAGACTGCACCTGACACACACAAGACTGCACCTGACACACACAAGACTGCACCTGAGCTCATTGGTGTGTGTGTTTGTGTATAATTGTGTGTGTTTGTTTGTGTGTATAATTGTGTGTGTGTATAATTGTGTGTGTGTTTGTGTATGTGTGTGTGTATAATTGTGTGTTGTGTGTATAATTGTGTGTGTGTATAATTGTGTGTATAATTGTGTGTATAATTGTGTGTATAATTGTGTGTGTTTGTGTATAATTGTGTGTGTGTGTATATTTGTGTGTTTGTGTGTATTGTGTGTGTGTGTGTATAATTGTGTGTGTGTGTGTATAATTGTGTGTGTGTGTATAATTGTGTGTGTGTATAATTGTGTGTGTGTGTGTGTATAATTGTGTGTGTGTTTGTGTGTATAATTGTGTGTGTGTGTGTGTGTATAATTGTGTGTGTGTATAATTGTGTGTTTGTGTGTATAATTGTGTGTGTGTGTGTGTGTATAATTGTGTGTGTGTTGTGTGTATAATTGTGTGTGTGTGTTGTGTGTATAATTGTGTGTGTGTGTGTGTGTATAATTGTGTGTGTGTGTTTGTGTGTATAATTGTGTGTGTGTGTGTGTATAATTGTGTGTGTGTGTTTGTGTGTACAGACGGAGTGAGGGGAGGGGAGGTGTGTGTTCAGGATTACATCTCTGCAGCTCAGAGAGGTAAGATCGCCCCCCGCTGGACACACACTCAACTGCACCAACACAACCTATTCACACACAAACACACACGCACACACACATACACACACACACACATATATATATACACACACACACACACACATATATACACAAACACACACACACATATATATACACAAACACACACACACACATATACACACACACAAACACACGCACACATATACACACACATACAAACACACACACACTGCTGCTCGATGATGGAAAAAAATCAGTATCATGATTATTTTGGTCGATATTGGAATCACAATTATTCAAACTAATAAACATCATTTAGTGACTTGATTCTTTTATTCAGCATTTCTGTCTCTGAAAAAAAAACCACAAAACTTCACAGTTTTTAATCATTTACACAAAACTTTCAAACTGAAAATAAACATCAGCTCCAAATCTGAACCTTACAACAGTTTTATGTTTGTGAATAAAACTTAACACAAATGTACCAAAATAAAGTTTATATCCAGCTCTTCTACAAACTTTAGATTTAAACAATAAAATAAATAAACTTATTTATATAAAAAATATCCCAAAATAAACTTTGTTAAGCTTTAAATGTTTCAGATGAATTATGTGAGTTTGGAGATCGTTTGAAACACAAATCTCAGTCAAGATTCAGTCAAGAGCACAGACTTACAGTGTGTTGTGTCCGGGGGTTTTCTACGTTGATGTCTATGGTGGAATTCTTCTCCGAGCTTTAATCCAGGTTCTGAGTTTGTTCGGAGTTTATCTCGAGCCCCACAGAGTGTTTCATGTGTGTCTCTTCTGTGTGAAACTCACCTGTCGTGCTCCAGTCTGTGCAGGTGAGACCCTGTCACCCGACCAGAGTCCTCTCCTCTGCCTGGACCTGGTCTACATCTCAGTCCTGCTCCAAGACCTCGGATTCAAACCAGACTCCCAGCTCAAGGTCCGTCTCAGTCCTGGTTTAGTCCTGGTTCAGTCCTGGTTCAGTCCTGATTTAGACCTGGTTTAGTCCTGGTTTTTAGTCCTGGTTTTTTAGTCCTGGTTTAATCCTGGTTTTTAGTCCTGGTTTAATCCTGGTTTTTAGTCCTGGTTTTAGTCCTGGTTTTAGTCGTGGTTTAGACCTGGTTTTAGTCCTGGTTTAGTCCTGGTTTTAGTCCTGGTTTTAGTCCCTGGTTTAGACCTGGTTTAGTCCTGGTTTTAGTCCTGGTTTTAGTCCTGATTTAGTGCTGGTCCAGTCCTGGTTCAGTCCTGGTCCAGTCCTGGTCCAGTCCTGGTTCAGTCCTGGTCCAGTCCTGGTTCAGTCCTGGTCCAGTCCTGGTCCAGTCTTGGTCCAGTCCTGGATCAGTCCTGGTCCAGTCCTGGTCCAGTCCTGGTCCAGTCCTGGTTTAGACCTGGTTTTAGACCTGGTTTAGTCCTGGTTTTAGTCCTGGTTTTAGTCCTGATTTAGTGCTGGTTCAGTCCTGGTCCAGTCCTGGTCCAGTCCTGGTCCAGTCCTGGTTTAGACCTGGTTTTAGACCTGGTTTAGTCCTGGTTTTAGTCCTGGTTTTAGTCCTGATTTAGTGCTGGTTCAGTCCTGGTCCAGTCCTGGTCCAGTCCTGGTCCAGTCCTGGATCAGTCCTGGTCCAGTCCTGGTCCAGTCCTGGTCCAGTCCCGGTCCAGTCCCGGTCCAGTCCCGGTTTAGACCCGGTTTAGACCCGGTTTAGACCCGGTCCAGTCCCGGTCCAGTCCCGGTTCAGTCCTGGTCTTGTTTGTGTTGCAGTTGTCTCGGTGGATCAGGGGGGTGGAGACCAGTTGGGCTTTGGGAGCGACATTCAACTACATGAACCTCTGATGCTCTTATTGTGAAAGGACAGACTCTTATTGTGAAAGGACAGACTCTTATTGTAAAAGGACAGACTCTTATTGTGAAAGGACAGACTCTTATTGTGAAAGGACGGACTCTTATTGTGAAAGGACAGACTCTTATTGTGAAAGGACAGACTCTTATTGTAAAAGGACGGACTCTTATTGTGAAAGGACAGGTGTATTATTTATCCAATCAGGAGGCAGCTGTGAGCCGCGCTGGAAGCTGATTGGTCGGTTTCTACGTTTAAATCCTGTAAATGCGATTTTCTGAAGTTTCAAATCTCTATTTTTAATCGAAGGAGTAAAATCGTGTTTGGACGGTTGTCATGACGATAAGTGTCCGTCAAACCACAGTGACAGTGTTTGTGTTTCATTAAAGCCTCAGACTGGAACTTTCCTCATGAGTGTTGTAGTTCTCCAGAGCGGTCTTCACCTCAAGACTGTGTTTTTATGGTCTTGGTCTGGTCTCGGACTCAACTGCGTTTGGACTCGGTCTGGTCTCGGACTCGACTGCGTTTGGACTCGGTCTGGTCTCGGACTCGACTGCGTTTGGACTCAGTCTGGTCTTGGACTCGAGGTCTTGAACTCAAGGTCTGATGCTTGTCAAGTGTCAAGAACACACTAATCAAGACCAAGACCAGACCCAGACCACAGGGTCCTGAGACCAGGACAAGACCTCTGAGGGTTGAGACCGAGTCCAAGTCCCATGGAGACGAAATCCAGGCCATTTTTGTATTTTTCTACATTTACTTGTATTTGACTTTTATTTTGTCACATTTATATCAATGTTTTTATAAATCTGTCTCCAGTTGATCTGATTAAAGTTCCACAAATTGGAACAACTTTATCACCAACAACAGAAGAAAAGACCAAGACCAAGACCAGACCGAGTCCCAGACCAAGTCCAAACGTGGTTGAGTCCAAGACGAGACCATAAAAACAGTGTTGAGATTTGTGCTTTCAAAACCAAGACGGGACTCGAGTTCTACGACACGACGACCCAAAGTTCCGTTTATTCAGTTTATTCAGTTTTGTGTAAATTTCCAGAGGACGAGTTTCTCAAACTGTGGGTCGGGGTCTAAAAATGTCCCAGAGTGTTTCAGAGCAGAACAGTTTATTTGTTTTATTTTAAGTTTAAATGAAATTTAATCAAATGGAAACAGATTTATAAAAACACTGATAAAAATGTGACAAAATAAAAGTCAAACACAAAAACACGTGAAAATAACAAAGACACTCTGGGTTTGGTCTCAGTGGGACTTGGTCTTGGACTTGGTTTTAAAAGTCTTGGTCTTGTCTTGGTCTCAGGTCCCTGTGGTTTTGGTCTTGAAAATGAACTCCAGACTACAACACTAACCCTGACCTCTGACCCCTGACCTCTGACCCCTGACCTCTGACCCTGTCTCTGGAGTTTGAAAAATTCAGTGATTTTTTTATTTTTTTTGGGTTTAAAACAAGAGAAACTTTTTAATGTGAATTTAAAATGTTTAATAAAAGTTTGACACAAAATGAAAAGTGTTTTTCTGACACACACACGAGAGGGCCCCTGACACACACACGAGAGGACACCTGACACACACACGAGAGGGCCCCTGACCACACACGAGAGGGACCTGACACACACACGAGAGGGCACCTGACACACACGAGAGGGCACCTGACACACACAAGAGGACCCCTGACACACACACGGGGAGGGCACCTCACACACGAGAGGGCCCGTGACACACACACGAGAGGAACCTGACACACATGAAAGAGCACCTTACACACACAAGAGGACACCTGACACACGAGATGGCCCCTGACACACACACACGAGAGAGCACCTGACACACGAGAGGGCACCTGACACACACGAGAGGGCACCTGACACACACAAAAGGGCACCTGACACACACAAGGGCACCTGACACACACGAGAGGGCCCCTGACACCACACACGGGGAGTGCACCTGACACACACGAGAGGGCCCCTGACACACACGAGAGGGCCCCTGACACACACACGAGAGGGCCCCTGACACACACACGAGAGGGCCCCTGACACACACACGAGAGAGAGCACCTGACACACACGAGAGGGCACCTGACACACACGAAAGAGCACGTGACACACATGAAGAGCACCTTACACACGAGAGGCACCTGACACACACAAGGCACCTGACACACACACGGGAGCACCTGACACACACGAGAGGGCACCTGACACACACAGAGGGCCCCTGACACACACACGAGAGGGCCCCTGACACACACACGAGAGGGCACCTGACACACACGAGAGGGCCCCTGACACACACAAGGGCACCTGACACACACGAGAGGGCACCTGACACACGATGACCTGAGAGACCACACGAGGGCACCTGACACACACACACAGAGGACACCTGACACACGAGATGGCCCCTGACACACACACACGAGAGGGCACCTGACACACACGAGGGCCCCTGACACACACACGAGAGGGCACCTGACACACACGAGACACACACGAGAGGGCCCTGACACACACAAGGCCCACTGACACACACGAAGGGCACCTGACACACACGAGAGGGCCCTGACACACACACGAGAGGGCACCTGACACACACAAGGGCACCTGACACACACGAGAGGGCACCTGACACACACGACAGGGGCCCTGACACACACACGAGAGGGCACCTGACACACACGAGAGGGCCCTGACACACACACGAGAGGGACCTGACACACGAAAGAGCACGTGACACACGAGAGGGAACCTGACACACACGAAGAGGCACTGACACACAAGATGGCCCCTGACACACACACGAGAGAGCACCTGACACACACAAGAGGGCCCCTGACACACACGAGAGGGCCCTGACACACACTCGAGAGGGCCCCTGACACACACACAGATGGGCACCTGACACACACGAGAGGCACCTGACACACACGAGAGGCACCTGACACCACACGAGAGGCCCTGACACACACACGGGAGGGCACCTGACACACACGGGAGGGACCTGACACACACGAGGGACCTGACACACACGGGAGGGATCTGACCACACACGGAGGGACCTGACACACAGGAGGGACCTGACACACACGGGAGGGACCTGACACACACGGGAGGCCCCTGACACACGAGAGGGCCCCTGACACACACGAGAGGCCCCTGACACACACACGGGGAGGCACCTGACACACACACGGGGAGGCACCTGACACACACGGGAGGCACCTGACACACACGGGAGGGCCCCTGACACACGAGAGGGCCCCTGACACACACGAGAGGGCCCCTGACACACACACGGGGAGGCACCTGACACACACGGGGAGGGACCTGACACACACGGGAGGGACCTGACACACACGGGAGGCACCTGACACACACGGGAGGGACCTGACACACACGGGAGGTTCTGTTGGGGTTTGGTTCTGGTTCTGGTCGGCAGGGGGCGGTGCTCTGTGGCCGGTGTGAGGGTCCAGTCTGCGCCGCTCTGTCCGGGTCTCCTCCTGCGTGGATCCTCCGGGAGAGTCGAGTCCCGGAGCCGAGTCCCGGAGCCGAGCCCCGGACAAACGGACCGGACCGAACCGGAGCGCGGATTCCCCGGGACAGACGCGACCGGAGCCGGAGGTGAGAAACCAACGCAACTTTCCAAAAACCTCCTTTAAAAGTGTCTTCCGTGTCTCAGTGGACCGTCCCCGTGTCTCCGGGTCCCGCGCGCAGACCCGGACTCTCTCCGTCCGGTTCTGGTCCGGTTTTGGTGCAGTTTTGGCGCAGTTTTGGCGCAGTTTAACTCTTTTGTTCTCGCGGCGCTTTCCCGTTCCCATGGTGAAGCTGCCTGATCTCGCGAGACCTGCGCACGGACTCCGTGTTTCTGCGTCCTCTCGCGAGACTCCGGCAGTTTCTAAATCTGTGACCGAAAAACGGAAAAGTTTATTTTTTTATTTGGACAAAACTTTAAAGTTTAGAACCAAAAACCCGCGGAACCGGAGAGTCCAGCTGACACCAGGACTGGACCAGGACTAAACCAGGACTAAACCAGGTCTAAACCACGACTAAACCAGGTCTAAACCAGGTCTAAACCAGGTCTAAACCAGGTTTAAACCAGGTCTAAACCAGGACTAAACCAGGACTAAACCAGGTCTAAACCAGGACTAAAACCAGGTCTAAACCAGGACTAAACCAGGACTAAACCAGGTCTAAACCAGGACTAAACCAGGTCTAAACCAGGTCTAAACCAGGTCTAAACCAGGTCCTAAACCAGGACTAAACCAGGTCTAAACCAGGTCTAAACCAGGACTAAACCAGGTCTAAACCAGGACTAAACCAGGACTAAACCAGGTCTAAACCAGGACTAAACCAGGACTAACCAGGACTAAACCAGGACTAAACCAGGACTAAACCAGGACTAAACCAGGTCTAAACCAGGACTAAACCAGGACTAAACTCTGACAGTTTATTTTTTTGTGATGTAGTTTCTATAGTTTTTGGTGAAATATTTAAATACAATAAATTTATATATTTTTTTCCTTCAGAGAAACAAACGTCAGAGCTGCTGCAGCTCCTCCCAGTGAAGAAGAAGAAGAAGAGGAGGAGGAGGAGGAGTGTGACTCCCTGTAGGAGACACCAACACAACAGCAGACTGAGCTCAAGTCCCTCTGCGCTCTGATTGGCTCCTCCTCCCTGCGCTCTGATTGGTTCCTCCTCCTCCCTGTGCTCTGATTGGCTCCTCCTCCTCCCTGTGCTCTGATTGGTTCCTCCTCCTCCCTGTGCTCTGATTGGCTCCTCCTCCTCCCTGCCTTCTGATTGGCTCCTGCTCCTCGCTGCGTTCTGATTGGCTCCTGCTCCTCGCTGCGTTCTGATTAGCTCCTCCTCGCTGCGTTCTGATTGGCCGGGCAGATGGAGGCGGAGCATGTGACTCGTTTGAGGGCGGAGTTTGACAGGTGTGACTCTCGGGGCTCGGGGTTTTTGGACAGGGACGCCCTGTCGACCCTGTGCCAGCGCCTGCACCTGCCCCCTTCGCACCTGTCACTGCTGCAGGAGCGGCTCCTGGGCCCCCCCCACGCCGAGGGACAGGTGAAACAGGTGAGACAGGTGCAGCAGGGGGCGGAGTTACAGAGTGAACCTGTCACACTTTTAGTCTCAGAGCATCAAACCCGACTAAAGTCCGACCTGAGTCCAACGAAGACTCATCAGACTCAGGTCAAACTCAGGTCGACTCAGATCAGACTCAGATCAGACTCAGGTCAAACTCAGGTCAAACTCAGGTCGGACTCAGGTCAGACTCAGGTCGGACTCGGACACATCAGTGATAAAACATTTGAAATGTAAAATGAAAACAGTTTCAGGATTTTTCAGTCTGAACTGATTTTTAAACGTGTGACAAAAACCAGAGACACGAGGAGAATCTGCTGAGACTCTGAAGTGTCAAAGATCAGACTTAGACCCAAGTCCAGACTGTGCTGAGACTTTTCCACACAAACTGACCTGGAGCCAGAGTCTGTGGAGCCCAAACACGACCGTGAACACTTCCTGTTTGTGTTTTTCAGGTGAACTTCGAGGATTTTAAACACGGTTTCGTGGAGCTTCTGTCCACAGACCTGAGCACCTCCGACGACGACTCCAGCTACTTACAACCAGGTACTGGACTAGACCTGGACTAGACCTGGACTAGACCTGGTTTAGACCTGGACTAGACCTGGACTAGACCTGGACTAGACCTGGACTAGACCTGGTTTAGACCTGGACTAGACCTGGACTAGACCTGGACTAGACCTGGACTAGACCTGGTTTAGACCTGGACTAGACCTGGACTAGACCTGGACTAGACCTGGTTTAGACCTGGACTAGACCTGGACTAGACCTGGACTAGACCTGACCTGGTTTAGACCTGGACTAGACCTGGTTTAGACCTGGACTAGACCTGGACTAGACCTGGACTAGACCTGGTTTAGACCTGGACTAGACCTGGACTAGACCTGGACTAGACCTGGTTTAGACCTGGACTAGACCTGGACTAGACCTGGACTAGACCTGGTTTAGACCTGGACTAGACCTGGACTAGACCTGGACTAGACCTGGTTTAGACCTGGACTAGACCTGGACTAGACCTGGTTTAGACCTGGACTAGACCTGGTTTAGACCTGGTTTACCTGGACTAGACCTGGACTAGACCTGGACTAGACCTGGACTTTTTAGACCTGGACTAGACCTGGTTTAGACCTGGACTAGACCTGGACTAGACCTGGTTTAGACCTGGACTAGACCTGGTTTAGACCTGGACTAGACCTGGACTAGACCTGGTTTAGACCTGGACTAGACCTGGTTTAGACCTGGACTAGACCTGGACTAGACCTGGACTTTAGACCTGGACTAGACCTGGTTTAGACCTGGACTAGACCTGGTTTAGACCTGGACTAGACCTGATTTAGTCCTGGTTTAGTCCTTGTTCAGTCCTGCTCTAGACCTGGTTTAGTTCTCGTTGCAGTCGTCCCGGAGATGAGCCCAAAGTTCGTTAAAGGTTTGAAGCGTTACGGGCGCCGCTCTCGACCCGAGAGACCGGACCAGGACCAGGACCAGGACCAGGACCAGGACCAGGATCACGACCAGGATTACAACCGGTCTACAGAGGGACTCCGCGGGGCCAAACTGCGAAGAGCCACGTCTCTGGAGAGCATCGAGGTACGAGTCAGATCCCCGTGTGTCAGGTGCCCTCCCTCTTGTGTGTCAGGTGCGGTCCTGTGTGTCAGGTGCGGTCCTGTCGTGTGTCTGGGTTCAGGGTGGAGTCTCAGGAAGTGGTTTAGGAGGAATGTGACTCCAGCTTCAATTTTCTGCACATTCTGAATGAGTCCTGGTCTAGACCTGGTTTAGTTCTGGTTTAGTCTTGGTCTAGACCTGGTTTAGTTCTGGTTTAGTCTTGGTCTAGACCTGGTTTAGTTCTGGTTAAGTCCTGCTTTAGTCTTGGTCTAGACCTGGTTTAGTTCTTGTTTAGTTCTGATCATGTGAAATGTCTCAAAAATGGTGTTAAAAGACACAAAATTCAGTTTTTATGGAGAAGCCAGAGACCAGAGACCAGAGACCAGAGACCAGACCAGACCAGACCAGACCAGAGACCAGACCAGACCAGACCAGACCAGACCAGAGACCAGACCAGACCAGAGACCAGAGACCAGACCAGACCAGACCAGAGACCAGACCAGAGACCAGACAGACCAGAGACCAGAGACCAGACCAGAGACCAGACCAGAGACAGACCAGAGACCAGACCAGACCAGAGACCAGACCAGAGACCAGACCAGACCAGACCAGACCAGAGACCAGAGACCAGACCAGACCAGACCAGAGACCAGAGACCAGAGACCAGACCAGACCAGAGACCAGAGACCAGACCAGACCAGACCAGAGACCAGAGACCAGACCAGACCAGACCAGAGACCAGAGACCAGACCAGACCAGACCAGACCAGAGACCAGAGACCAGACCAGACCAGACCAGACCAGACCAGACCAGAGACCAGAGACCAGACCAGACCAGAGACCAGAGACCAGAGACCAGACCAGACCAGAGACCAGACCAGACCAGACCAGAGACCAGAGACCAGACCAGACCAGACCAGACCAGAGAGACCAGAGACCAGACCAGACCAGACCAGAGACCAGAGACCAGAGACCAGAGACCAGACCAGACCAGACCAGACCAGACCAGACCAGAGACCAGAGACCAGACCAGAGACCAGACAGACCAGACCAGAGACCAGAGACCAGAGACCAGACCAGACCAGACCAGACCAGACCAGACCAGACCAGACCAGACCAGACCAGAGACCAGACCAGACCAGACCAGACCAGACAGAGACCAGACCAGACCAGAGACCAGAGACCAGAGACCAGACCAGAGACCAGAGACCAGACCAGACCAGACCAGACCAGAGACCAGAGACCAGACCAGACCAGACCAGAGACCAGAGACCAGACCAGAGACCAGACCAGAGACCAGAGACCAGACCAGACCAGACCAGAGACCAGAGACCAGAGACCAGACCAGACCAGAGACCAGACCAGACCAGAGACCAGACCAGACCAGACCAGACCAGACCAGACCAGACCAGAGACCAGAGACCAGACCAGACCAGACCAGACCAGACCAGACCAGACCAGAGACCAGACCAGAGACCAGAGACCAGAGAGACCAGACCAGACCAGACCAGACCAGACCAGACCAGACCAGAGACCAGAGACCAGACCAGACCAGACCAGACCAGACCAGACCAGAGACCAGACCAGACCAGACCAGACCAGACCAGAGACCAGACCAGACCAGACCAGACCAGACCAGAGACCAGACCAGACCAGACCAGACCAGACCAGACCAGAGACCAGAGACCAGAGACCAGACCAGACCAGAGACCAGAGACCAGACCAGACCAGACCAGACCAGAGACCAGACCAGAGACCAGACCAGACCAGACCAGACCAGAGACCAGAGACCAGACCAGACCAGACCAGAGACCAGACCAGACCAGACCAGACCAGAGACCAGACCAGACCAGAGACCAGACCAGACCAGAGACCAGAGACCAGAGACCAGACCAGAGACCAGAGACCAGAGACCAGAGACCAGACCAGACCAGACCAGACCAGACCAGACCAGACCAGAGACCAGACCAGACCAGACCAGACCAGAGACCAGAGACCAGACCAGACCAGACCAGAGACCAGACCAGACCAGACCAGAGACCAGAGACCAGACCAGACCAGAGACCAGAGACCAGAGACCAGAGACCAGACCAGACCAGAGACCAGAGACCAGAGACCAGACCAGACCAGACCAGACCAGACCAGAGACCAGACCAGACCAGACCAGAGACCAGACCAGACCAGACCAGACCAGAGACCAGAGACCAGAGACCAGACCAGAGACCAGACCAGACCAGACCAGACCAGACCAGACCAGACCAGACCAGAGACCAGACCAGACCAGACCAGACCAGACCAGAGACCAGACCAGACCAGACCAGACCAGAGACCAGACCAGACCAGAGACCAGACCAGAGACCAGAGACCAGACCAGACCAGACCAGAGACCAGAGACCAGACCAGACCAGACCAGACCAGAGACCAGACCAGACCAGACCAGACCAGAGACCAGAGACCAGACCAGAGACCAGACCAGACCAGACCAGACCAGACCAGACCAGACCAGACCAGACCAGACCAGACCAGAGACCAGAGACCAGACCAGACCAGACCAGACCAGACCAGACCAGAGACCAGACCAGACCAGAGACCAGAGACCAGAGACCAGAGACCAGAGACCAGAGACCAGACCAGACCAGACCAGAGACCAGACCAGACCAGACCAGACCAGAGACCAGAGACCAGACCAGACCAGACCAGACCAGAGACCAGAGACCAGACCAGACCAGACCAGAGACCAGAGACCAGACCAGACCAGACCAGACCAGAGACCAGACCAGACCAGACCAGACCAGAGACCAGACCAGACCAGACCAGAGACCAGACCAGACCAGACCAGACCAGACCAGACCAGAGACCAGACCAGACCAGACCAGACCAGACCAGACCAGACCAGACCAGACCAGAGACCAGACCAGACCAGACCAGACCAGACCAGAGACCAGAGAGACCAGACCAGACCAGACCAGAGACCAGAGACCAGAGACCAGACCAGACCAGACCAGACCAGAGACCAGAGACCAGACCAGACCAGACCAGACCAGACCAGACCAGAGACCAGACCAGACCAGAGACCAGACCAGACCAGACCAGAGACCAGAGACCAGACCAGACCAGACCAGACCAGACCAGAGACCAGACCAGACCAGACCAGACCAGACCAGACCAGACCAGACCAGACCAGACCAGACCAGAGACCAGACCAGACCAGAGACCAGACCAGACCAGACCAGACCAGAGACCAGACCAGACCAGAGACCAGACCAGACCAGACCAGACCAGACCAGACCAGAGACCAGACCAGACCAGACCAGACCAGACCAGACCAGACCAGACCAGACCAGACCAGACCAGACCAGACCAGACCAGACCAGACCAGACCAGACCAGAGACCAGACCAGAGACCAGACCAGACCAGACCAGACCAGACCAGACCAGACCAGACCAGACCAGACCAGACCAGACCAGACCAGACCAGACCAGAGACCAGACCAGACCAGACCAGACCAGACCAGACCAGACCAGACCAGACCAGACCAGACCAGACCAGACCAGAGACCAGACCAGACCAGACCAGACCAGACCAGACCAGACCAGACCAGACCAGACCAGAGACCAGACCAGACCAGACCAGACCAGACCAGAGACCAGAGACCAGACCAGACCAGACCAGACCAGAGACCAGACCAGACCAGACCAGACCAGACCAGACCAGACCAGACCAGACCAGACCAGACCAGACCAGACCAGACCAGACCAGACCAGACCAGACCAGACCAGAGACCAGACCAGACCAGAGACCAGAGACCAGACCAGACCAGAGACCAGACCAGACCAGACCAGACCAGACCAGAGACCAGACCAGACCAGACCAGAGACCAGACCAGACCAGACCAGAGACCAGACCAGACCAGACCAGAGACCAGACCAGGTCCAGGACTTGGAGCAGGTCTGAGGCTGGTGCAGATTTACAGAATTCCTGAGGCTGAAATCCTCTGAAGAATCTGCTCCTGACTCCAGTGTGAGGAGCGGCTCTGGTCCTGAGCTCAGACCTGGTTCAGTCCTGGTTTAGACCTGGTTCAGTCCTGGTTAGACCTGGTTCAGTCCTGGTTTCTGCTGTTTTTATTTTCATTTTAATGATTCTTTCTTGTATTTTTTTGTTATTTTACTTTTGGAGATTTTTCCAAAGTTTTTTGAGTTTCTGAGTCTCAGCTGTTTGGGAAGGTCTACTAAGGTCCTCTAAGGTCTTCTTAGGTCCTCTGAGTTCCTCTGAGGTCCTCTGAGGTCTTGTGAGGTCTTCTGAGTTCCTCTGAGGTCTTGTGAGGTCTTCTGAGTTCCTCTGAGGTCCTCTGAGGTCCTCTGAGGTCCTCTGAGGTCTTCTGAGGTCTTCTGAGGTCCTCTGAGGTCCTCTGAGGTCCTCTGAGGTCTTCTGAGGTCCTCTGAGGTCCTCTGAGGTCTTCTGAGGTCCTCTGAGGTCCTCTGAGGTCCTTTGAGGTCTTGTGAGGTCCTCTGAGGTCTTGTGAGGTCCTCTGAGGTCTTGTGAGGTCCTCTGAGGTCCTGTGTGTTTGGAGTGTAACTGTTGGTGATGTTTTTGGGGCAGAGCCTGAAGTCAGATGAGGAGCGCCCCCTACAGGAACAGGAACCCCCCCGAGGTGAGACGCTCCTGAAACTCAAGTCCTCATCCAAACTGAAACTGGATCAAAACCAGATCCTCAAAACCAGATCCTCATGTTCCTCAGGTCTGAATCTAAAAACGTCCCACTGACAGAACAGAGCAGAACCTTTAGAACCTTTAGAACCTTTAGAACTTTTAGAACGTTTCCTGAATGTGTTTAGAACGATGTGGAACTGCATCAGAACAAGTGTAAGAGACACAGACTAGAACACACATGGACCTGGTTTAGACCTGGTTTAGACCTGGTTTAGACCTGGTTTAGTCCTGGTTTAGTTCTGGTTTAGTCCTGTTTTAGTCCTGTTTTAGTCCTGGTTTAGACCTGGTTTAGTCCTTGTTAAGTCCTTGTTTAGACCTGGTTTAGTCCTGGTTTAGACCTGGTTCAGTTCTGGTTTAGACCTGGTTTAGACCTGGTTTAGTCCTTGTTTAGTCCTTGTTTAGACCTGGTTTAGACCTGGTTTAGTCCTGGTTTAGTCCTGGTTCAGTTCTGGTTTACACCTGGTTTAGTCCTGGTTCAGTTCTGGTTTAGACCTGGTTTAGTCCTGGTTTAGACCTGGTTTAGTCCTGGTTTAGTCCTGGTTTAGTCCTGGTTCAGTTCTGGTTTAGACCTGGTTTAGTCCTGGTTTAGACCTGGTTTAGTCCTGGTTTAGTCCTGGTTTAGTCCTGGTTCAGTTCTGGTTTAGACCTGGTTTAGTCCTGGTTTAGTCCTGGTTTAGTCCTGGTTTAGTCCTGGTTCAGTTCTGGTTTAGACCTGGTTTAGTCCTGGTTTAGACCTGGTTTAGTCCTGGTTTAGTCCTGGTTTAGTGTGTGTTGTGTGTGTGTGTGTGTGTGTGT